GGGCCTATAGTTACAGTGGTGCTGTAACGATAGACCATACTCGTTCGATCATGCAATTAATTAGCCATTATTATCTCATCAACTAACCAGACGTTAATTTTTTTCGAAAATTTTAAAGCAAAAAAGGCTTTTAGAATTGTGTAAAAGTTAAAGGTGTTTCATTAAACACACAATTTGAAATGCATTTATTATTTGATAATTAAAATTATTTTAAAAAATCACTTGTTTTATGAGAAATTCGTACTTTGTGTAATAAATAGCATTTTCTATAGAGTTTTCATATAGTAATATACCAAAAAGTTATATATAATAGAATAGAAAAAGGAAAATATTTGATGACACCATAGTGACAGATACTATTTCAAAAAATATAAAGAATTTAGGAGTAAATTTTAAAAATGAAAATATTAAATGACATAATAGTAATTGAAATAAAGTACATTTCTTTGTATTCCTTCAAGAAAACGTTATCCTTATAAAATTATAATGATTTTTTTTTTACACCACCGATGTCATGTGAATGACATAATAGTTATTGAAATAAATGATTTAAGGGTAAATTTGAAAAGTGAAAATATTAAATGATACAATAGTCATTGAAATAAAGTACATTTCTTTATATTTCTTCAAGAAAATATTAACCTTATAAAATTATGATGATTTTTTTTTAACACCACTGGTGTGATGTAGCACTCACTACTTATAGAAAAACCATCATTAAAAATTGAAATTGTTAACTTTTATCATTTATAATCCCACGTTGAAATTCTCAATAACCAATCCCGAATTACTGTATTTTGTGTTTTTGGAGCCTTGAAGTCCTCGATCACAGTCTCAACCATGGCACCGAATAGAGTTATCATGTGTGTTTAATAATGATGTTGAAAATGCAAAGTAATTAATATAACAATTTCATTGAGAATGTATCAAATTAATGTTTTCCATGTTTAATTTCAAACTCCAATCCAGTTGACCATAATACGAAATCTCTACCAATCATTAAGAAGACTCTCGAAGAAATGAATGTTCTAGGCATTGAGATGTCGACAAACTTTATGAAATCATTTAATGTTGTTCCAGCAAGAAATTCAAAAGAGAGTTTTGTTCACACCCAAAACGAAGAATCTGCCATGAATCACAAAATGGGCCTGGAAGAAAGAGGCATTCTATGAAGAAATTATTGAAAGAAAAACATATTTTTGTACAGTGTTTTGTGTGATGTGAGAGAAGAGATGTGTTTGCGTGTGTTGTTAGAAAAAAAAACAGTAACATGTGAGAGATGGGTCTGTAACTCTGTAAGAAAGAGACATTCCATGAAGAAATTATAGAGAGAAACAATGCTTTTGTGATGTGAGAGAAGAGATGTGTATCCGTGTGTGTGTTTTTTTTTTTTTTTCGAAAGAAGGTGGATGAAAAGAAACGGTAACATGACGGAATAAAATAACCTTTCTTTCGTCTCTAAGAAACCTATGGGTCATGATCAACATGAAAGGTGTTCGCTTACTTTTGAAGAAAGAGGTTTAATGGCATTCTTTTACTTATACTTCATATCTAAGAAACACTAAAAATGCTTCTTGATCTCAATTTTTTTATATAAAAAAAATAGATTGAATATTTATTCGCATATGTGAAAAATTTTAGTTTAAAATACAAAAAAAAAAAAAACTAATTTTTAGTCAATGATAACAATCAAATAAAAACAAAGACATTATTTGGTCAATTTATGATTGTTTAAGAATAAAATTGATCAGATTAATAGTACATATCCCATCTTATCACAATTCCAATAGTTAAAATATGAAATGACCATTGAACCCTTTTGAAAGACCCATTTATTATTATTATTATTATTATTGGAGGTAGGGGGGTTGACATAACATGGATGACATGGCTAAGTTAAAGGGGCGAGATGCAAAACGTCATCGAATCCCTTAGAAGTTCAAAAGTTAAAGATTCCTTTCCATGTAAAATAAAATTATAAAAATATCTCAAAAAACCTGAAAAAATAAATTAATGGACAAATTATTAGCTTTAGAAAAGATAAGGATGCTTTAAACGTAGAACATTGAAAAGAAAAGGATGCTAACATGACTTTTTAATGGACTAAGTAATTTAATTCCACTAAGGGCAGCGGACCAAGAAGGACAAGCAAATTACCAAGGAAAAGAGTAGATTATCCTAAATTAGTTACTGTAGTTTTGAGAAATTCATTATTGGTTCGATTTTTTTTTTAAAAAAAACTAATTATTTAGATTTTATATCAAAATTTTTTTTGTCAAAATTTGGAAAATATTTGTTGAGAAATAGAAAAACAGAAAACGATAATTATACCAAAACGGAAAGATTTTTATGCTGTTCAAACAAATAAATTATTTCTAAAATCTTATTTTTGTTTTTGTCAAATTTCAGATTCACTCCACCATGAAAATGACTAATTAGCGGAATTAATATATTTAAGATAATTGGTCCCACAATATGACAACTTGCTATTTTTTTTTTTTCCTCATAAGAAAGCTAGAAACAAGGTAATCTCTTGGCACAAATGTTATACAAGTCAAACAAATTCTTCTTATTGTGTAATATTTGAGGTTTGACTGTTTTTCTAGAAAATACGACTAAATATTGACCAAGATATAATTGGAAAACGAATGTAGTCCCCCCCAAAATCAAAGCTTGACCAACACAAACTTTTTTTTTTTGGTAAATAATAGATATTATCGAATTAATTTTTATATTAATTGATACTACATTTATTATTTTTTAAAACTAGTTACTCCATTTTTGAGAAATTAATTATTAGTTCAATTTTTTAAAATAATTATTTAGCTTTTATATCGAATTTTTTTATCTTAATCTTTTTCATATCTTCCAATTTATTTATTTTTATTTTATGGAATAAAAAAAACAAAAAAAAACATGAAAGAATTGATGATAAAAAACAATGATTTTTTAAATAAAATAATATTAAATTAACGGTGATTAACATATATTAAAAAAAACTAAATAATTAATTTTAAAAACAAAGAAAACTAATTAATTTGTTTCTTAAAAAAAAATAGCAATAGAAAACTTAATAACTGGGGACATAGAAAAAATGTTATGACTTAACATGGCTAGTAAAAATTTGGAAAATATTTTTTTTAGAAAATAGAAAAAAGAAAACGACAACTATACCAAAAGAGCAAGATTTTTATGTTCTTCAGGCAAATAAATTATTTCTGAAATCTTACTTTTGCTTTTTCCAGTTTTTAGATTCTCTCCACAATGAGAATGACTAATTAGCGGAATTAAAATATTTGCCATAGTTGGCTCTACAATATTAAAACCTTACCTTTTTTCCCCTCATAAGGAAGCAAGAAATAAGGCAATCTCTTGACACAAATGTTATACAGGTCAAACAAATTCTTCTTGTTATGTAATAGATATCATCAAATTAATTTTTACATTCACTGAGAATAAATTTATTATTTTTTAAATTAGGATAAAATTTTTTTTTATAACCTTTAATCTATCCTTTCTATTTTTTTAATAAGGCAATTATAGTTATATTTTGCAATGAAAAAAGAAAAAAAAAAAAAAGGCCCTAGAAGCTATAAATGGTCGTGGGCCTGCTTCTATTGCTATCCACAAAACTAAAAGGCCCACTACGTAATAATTTTTTTTATGTATTTTTTTAATCGCTTTACTTTAAAACAATACAATAAAAGTTAGAAAAACAAAGGACCAGACAAGCTTTTAGTAAGGAATAGATTGTCGTGGCTTTGGGATCCTTTACGCGTTGATTCTAATTTTTTCTATGCATCGTGTTGAAGTATGGCTGGTTGTCTCCCGTTACCGTAATTCAGGCTGTGTTTATTTGACAGAATATAAGTTTTAAGAATTTATTTTTCTTATTATTTAGTGTTTGTTTCACGTTTATAAAAAAGTCAACGAAAAATAATTTTCAGTCAACAAAAAATTATAGAGCATTTTTGAAAAAATATTTTTTCAATTAAAAAAGAGAAAAACATTTTTCTTCTCACAAATTGTTTAACTCTCGTATTACTTACCTCTCTCTTGATATATTTTTATAATTTTTTCTCTATCTTTTTTTATTTAAAATATATTAAATTAATTTATTATTATTCCTTATCAATTATTATTAATTATTTAATTATTTTTTCTCTATTTCTATTAATATTTAATTTTTTGATTTATAGATACATTAAATATTCTTAAAACCCATTTTTACAACTTAAAATTATTTTTATAATAAATATTTCAATAATTTATCTCTATTTTTTTACTATTATCTCAAACACTACCTAAACTATACTTAAATGATTGAAAATAATTATTAAAAGACTATAATTTTTTTGTAAAAAAAATTGAAATTAACTAATTCATTAATAAATACATTTTTTTTCAATACTATTCATTTGCAACTAAATCAATAATTTATAATTTTAATCAGTTGTAAAATTTTGTTGGTAATTGTAGTGAATAAATGATTACAAATTATTTCAACATTAATCTTTTGAAACCAAATGAATAATTATTTATAAATGATAACTAATAATTTATAAAAATATTTTTTAGACTACATTATCCGTTCAATTTTCAAAAAAAAAAAAAATTCTTAATTGAGGTACTAGAATAACAATGCTAGGATTGCTTAGATTTTTTTTTTTCTAAATGTGAATATCGACTTGATTTTGTCCCAAGTAATTTTAATGAATTGCTTTGATAGTTAAAAACTATATTTTATTTTTCGAATTAAAATTTTAGAGTCGGTATTTATGAAAATTTATTAAATTTTTTGAAATATATCTTATATTGTGAAATTATGAATATTCCTTTCGAAGTTCTCTCAAAACTCATTGATGTAACAATCACATATTGTTTTTATATTTTAATTTTCTATATCAAACAAACATTGAAATATATTTTTCAGTAATTTTTTTATATAATTGTCCAATGATAGAAAATATTTTTTGAAAAATAATTTCTTAAAAAAACAAATGGAGCCCTCAAAAGACTTTAAATCTTCTGACGAACTAAAAAAAGAGATTGACCAAAAAGTAAAAAAGTTAAAGATTCCTTTCTATGTAAAATAAAATTATAAAACTATGTCAAAAAGCCTAAAAAAAAAAGAGTTAAATTAACTGATCTAACAAAGTTGGAAGCAATTTGTGTCCTTGTAATTTCTAACATAAATAATGTTGACACCCATCTTTATTTATTATTTTTAAAATAATTTCTTTAGATGAGGAATATCTATCTATTTCCTAAAATTAAAATCAATATCGTATATAGTCATGCAATTGACACATATGTTTAACCTAATATTCTTATGTCTGATAGTTTCATTCAATGAATTAGGTTCAAGTTCAACTGTTTCTAATTTTTTCATATATATTGTGTAGAAAGAAGACTGATTATCTCCCGTTACGTAATTCAAAACACTTTAAATCTTCTAATGAACTAAAAAAGAGCATGATTATCAATACAGACGTTTAAATTTTATATTTTATTCAGAAATATTTATTTATTTATTTATTTCAGTTGTATCTTAAATTAAACAATATTTCAAAATTAGAGGGGAAAATTAAGGTTTGTTAATCACCCAAAAAAAGCCTATTTAGATTTTTTTTTTCCTTCCGAAAAAGCCTGCTTAGGAATTAGGATTTTTGTTCAGTTGTTTGATATACCTAACCAGTTAATGCCAACATTATGAACAATTCAAATGGAGAATTTTTTTTTAAAAAAAAAACTCATTTAGAAAATCCATAAAATAGAAAAACAATATACTATTTAAGAGGTCATTAAATACTGTTATAATTATATTTAGTATCAATGAAATCACATTTTCTCGCTGGTATAAAAAGGTCACCGAATTATTAGGTTTGGAAAAGAAAAGGATGCTTTAATTAAACGTAGAAAATTGAAAAGAAAAAGATGCTAACATGACTTTTTAATGGACAAAGTAATTTAATTCTACTAAGTGCAGCTGACCAAGAAGGACAAGCAAATTACCAAGGAAAAGAGTGGATTAATTATACTAAATTAATTACTCTAGTTTTGAGAAATTAATTATTAGTTCAAATTTTTTAAAAACTAAAGTAAAAAAATATGAAAGAATTGATGAAAAATAATGATTTTTTAAAAAATAAAAAAATATTAAATTATATACGGTGAACACATAATAAAAAATTAAATAATTAATTTTTGAAAAAAAATATTAATTAATTTAATTCTTAAAACTAAAGGGACTAAGTTATAATTTACCCTCATGGATGGAATGGAACTTCCAACTTCAAGTGACTTTTACTTTTCCTCTCTTATCTACTCACTTTATGGTTTTATACTGTTCAGAAAAATAAATTATTTTTGAAATTTTAGTTTTGCATTTGCTAATTTTCAGATTCTCTCCACAATATTAAAACCTTGCTATTTTTTTCCCTCACAAGGAAGCAAGAAATAAGGCAATCCTCCGACCCAAACGTTACATACAAGTCAAACAAATTCTTCTTATCGTGTAATATTTGAGGTTTGACTATTTTTTTCAGATCATGATTGATTTGTTTGAGAAAGAAAATATAATTAAATATTGACCAAGAAAAAATTGGAAAACAATTGTAGTCCCCCACAAAATCAAAGCTGGACCAAGGCAAACTATTTTTTTTTGTTTTTTTTTGGGGGGCAATAGAGTATTTTTCATTTTCACCCGCTCCTCTAAAAGCGGGACCCAATATGACCAAACATAACCTTAACTTAAAGCCACCTAACGATAAAACTCAGAATTAATTATAAATCAGTCTCTTTATTTTTAAAAACTAAATCAATTAATTCATTTTGTTTCAAAAACTAATTGTTTAGTCCTTTAATCAGAGTTAATTATACTTAATTTAATATTATTTATTATAAAAAATAATCTCTCTTCTCATCCATCTTTCTATAATAATTTTATTTTATGTTTTTTCTTAAAAACTCGGAAAAAAACATAAAAAGTATGAAAATGACTAAATAATTAGCTTTTGAAATAACAAAACTAATTAATTTATTTCTCAAAAAATAAGGGACTAATCTATAATTTACTCCAAACACAAAGGAGTACACATCGTCTTTTCCTATCTCCATGTACCAAAGCTACGCGAGTAAAAGAAATTTTATAATACATAAGGAGTAACTAGTGGCATGTACAATAGTTATCCCTTGGACTCATTTTGAGGATAACGATAGACACGTAAAAAAGAGAGACAGAAAAATAGGAGAGAAAATAAAAAAATTTAAGCGGAGGTGAAAATTGTCTTATCACTTTTGGTGGGTGTGGATGTAATTTCTTTCTTTTTTATGTATCTATCTCTCTACTCAAGGTAAATCTAAAGAGTAACTACTATACATATCACTCGCTTACTCCTTGTTCATTATAAAATTTCCTCGCAAAGCACGACATAGATACCAAAAACCACCGTGATTATCGAGGATCGTTGCCTCGCAATGGGTGGAGACGGTGGAATCAAAGGAGCAGAGGCGCAATACATGACTCGCGAAGACGTTAGTTTGGTGGGACATAGAGAACCGTAATGTACCAAGAGGCTGTGACCTTCGTGCCATAGCACAAAACATAAGCTCGGCTCTTTCCAAGATGGACTATTGTGGTCCTTTCTCTATTTTCGCTTATGGTGACACTCATGGTATCGATTCCGTTGCTCAACGAGCTCTTTCTAGCACCGGGATTGCTCTTCGTCGTGTCCCTGCGAGTTTCTTCTTTTTACTTCTACTTTTTGATGATTTGTTTGACGGGGTGTTTGGTTTTTGCTGTTTTTTTTTTTAATTATTTCAAGAAAGATTGGTTCTTGGTCACTGTTTTGGCTTTCATGGTGTTGTTTTGTTTGATTTATCGACGGGGTTATGTAATTTGTGTAAGAGACCGAACCGATCTGGATTAGAAATTAAGGGTTTGTTAAGATTTGCAATGTTGTGCGGAATTATAAAGAAACAAAGGGAAATTTGCAATCTTTTGATTCATTTGAAGTTTAGTTTTTGAAATAGGAAGAGTGCAAGTTGACTAAATATGATCTGTTGCAATATGAATAGGATGCTTTGGTCCGCATGTGTGGTTTTTTCGAACATTGAAGTCCCGCATATTGTTTATGTGTTATATTGTCGGAGAGTCGATGTTCATAATTTTACATATGAGTTAACGAGTGTTAAAGATGCAAGCGACAAGAAGATTCTTGTTGATTTGTTGTTACGGGCGATGGACGATCGTATGTGTTAGGCCAACAAGTTTTCCAAGTTAGAATGGAAAGTTTAAGGGCAAGCCGAAGAAAAATGTCCAACCTATAAGGAGAATTTAAATTAGATCCCTAGCTTTTATTTTTATCTCATTGCATCCTTCCACTTGTTTTAGTTAACAAAAACATTAAATAATCATATAAAAATCAAGTGATTTTTTTTCCTTTTTTCTATAAAAAAACTTATAAATTTATTAAAATATCTCCATCATCATTACGGACACATATATGTAAGGAACTTTATGTTATATATATATATATATATATATATATATATATATATATATATATATATATATATATAGTCTATTATATAAGTTTTACTTAATGCAAAACTAAATATCAAGGAATTCAATAATTTTTTATGGAAAAATATAAATCCTTTTAAGTTTCACGTAACCACTTATAAATTTTTCTAACTAAATCTAACATAAATATCTGATTGAGTATCTACTAATATACATTGGGAACTCAATTGGGATAAAAAAATAGTTTAAGGACTTAATCAAGGTTTATCCTACAAATTGAGGATTCTTTTAGGTCTCGCTCCAATTTTAATGGGGACCGTGGAAAAGTTGACCCCTACTTGTTTGGTAATGAGATTAGAAAAATTTTATAATACACACGGAGTAACTAGTGGTGTAACACCCCCGTCCTGATCATATTTCTACTACCTAAGCGAGTATTATACGAAGCGCGTTACACCGACATACCCTAAACTCTAAGTAATCTCTTATGATATTCTTAAAACTTTAACGACACATTACATATATAACTCCTTAAGATAAAATTTACATCACATAATTAAATACATTAATAAAACATTACGAGCAATATTCAATTTCTCACGAACTCCATACCCCAAATTTACGAGATAAAATAAAAAATAATATATGGTGCCTCACATGAGCCGGTTATGAGGAGCTAGCCGCATTCGTACCAACTTGTCCTTTTTTTCACGACATAAAAAATAACAACGGGGTGAGTCGAAGCTCGGTAAGCGAGGATGATGCACGTGATATGCAATGTTGTTTTGACTTTCCACCATACTCATAAATTTTAATCTCGGGTACCACGGGTATTAGTCGATCTACTTTATTTATCATCCGGGTGGTCCGCAGATCACCTTTTGCTACAATGGAATTGTCCCTCGTTGTAACTACCGTTAGCGGAAATCCATTGTCTAACGAGTGCAAGCACACGACTTGATTTCACCGGATGATCCTCGGATCATCTTCTCGCTACAATGGAATTATCCCTCGTTGTAACTGCTATTAGCGAAAATTCATCGTCTAATAGTGCGAGCACACAACCTAGAGTACTTGGACTACTAATATCCATTTTTTCCAGTTAAGTTATCAAACCTAGATGTATAAACTATTTCTCAATTAATTGACTTGTCTTAAACCACCTACTATGCACATGATGCACTTGATGACATATGTAATCACATACAACCAAATTCGGGTACCAATCCTTCATTCTCATGCTATACTCATGGTCCAACCCACACACTCGAAATTTACCCGTTGCTCACATACCAATCATGATACTCATAGCGGGAACACAACCTCCGCTCATTAATATTGTTTATTAGTTTCATTAATATTTAAAAGAAGGTCCAAGTCCATTTACTTTAATCCAAGCCCATTAACTTTATCCTAAGTCCATTGAGTTTATTCAATTCTATTTTATTTAGTCCAAGCCCATTTAGTTTATTCCAAACCCATTAATTTTGTCCAAGTCTAATTCTTTGATTTTAGGATTTATTACTTGGGCAACTCCTAATCGAGTAAATAATTTTTTAATTTCAGAATATAATTAAATATTAATCATTTTATTTTAGATACTAGACATATTTATTTATAACATATCCAAAAATTAGATCTAAATACCAAGTACATAATTAATTATAAATTTTGAAACTTAGGGAGCAATCTGCCTAGTAGTAGTTTGTCTAGAGCTATCCGTACTAAATCGGGTATAAATATTTGTATACAAATCCAATGACCAAGAAATTTTAAAGGCAGTTAGTTGAAACATAGATGAACAACTTTTATTCTTTGAGTTTCATCCAGAAATCGACCTAAAATCCTTGAACATGCACCCCAAAAGTCGGATAGAATTTACTCCTTATCAACACCAATTTATTAGTTCATTCCAAGCCAACTTTAAACATGTTTTAGCTCACTTAAATTTAGTCCAAGTCCAATCCAACCCATCACCACATACTTGGACATTTTTCAAAGCATCATAACATCATAAACTATCATAACAAGGCATCCATACATAGATTTATCCCAAGCATCAAGCATATAACCACCGAAAATTATTACAACCCATGAAATAAACACTAACAAAATAACTTAAAAAAATAATTTAAGACATTAATCAGCCAAAAAAAATGGAACCTACTTACCTCTTTTAGGTTTGATTATAATTTCCTTAGCTCCTTTTCTTTTCTTTTTCCCTTTCTCTTTTTCTTTCCCTTTTCCCTTTCTCTTTTTCTTTCCTTTCCTTTCTCTCCTCACATTTTTTTTCCTTTCTTGTCTTTCTTGCCTTTTCTCTCCTAATTTTTGGTACGTACGGGTTACTAAAATTTTTTTCACTATCTTAACACTTGCTATATATATACTTACTTACCTTTAGCTACAAGTGTTATAAATTAATGGGACAAGGTGTAAAAGTTATGGGTGAGTCATGAGGAAAGGTGGTCGCTTTGGGACCATAATGGGTGAGTTGGCCTTAAATTCATTTATTGCATTTGCTTAGGTGTCTATATAAAATTTAGACTAATTAAAATCATCAATTAACTTAATTCAAGTAACTAAACTTACTTTCTTTCATAAAAATTTCTGAAATTTCCATTTTTAAAATTCCGAATTTATTTTTTCTCAAAATTCCAGCGAGTGTTACCTCCTAACCCATCTATACTAAAATGTGCATAACTCTTTCTATATATATCCAAAAATTCTGAAATTTTATACAGATCTAGTACACATATATACAAACAACTTTTATTCTTTAAGTTGTTTTCAAAAATCAATCTAATGTCATCAAATAAATCTCACAAGATTCGAGCAGATTCTTCTCCCGAAATTCCAACAGAATGCATTTCGAAACAACCCTCACCATAATGGATATAACTCTTAATGTATAGGTCCAAAAATTATAAAATGTTATACAGGTCTATTCAACACATAGATGAACAACTTTCATTCTTTAAGGGTTACCCAAAAATCACCATAAAGTCCTCAAATAATTCACACAAAACTCGGGAAGAATATAGTCCTTAAAACTCGATTTTGCATATTTGATTTCTTTAATAATTAAACCATTAATCTTAAGCACAATAACTTTAATTTAACATAAATCACATATTTCAAGTATTAATTTCTCATGATGAAATGAGAATTATACTTACTCTTAATATACGTATATATAGAATGATTCTAAAACACATCGCGTTACGGATAAGGGTTTTTACGAGGGTTACAAGTGGCATGTACGGTAGTTATTCCTTGAGCCTACTTTGAGGAGAGAGATAGACAAAAAAAAAAAAAAAAATTACATCCATACCCATAAAAAATGATAAGAAGATTTCCACGTCCGCTTAAATTTTTTTATTTTTCTCTCTCTATTTTTGTGTGTTTATCTCTCTCCTCAAAGTGGACTCAAGAAGTAACTAGTATACATGCCAATAGTTATTCCTTATGTATTATAAAATTTCTCATGAGATTATGTGTTCTACTGTGAGTAAAATCACTTAACTATTTGGTAATATTAGGTTGTTTGAACTAAAATTATTATTATTGAATTTCAAATTTTTTATTAAAAAATTAAAAGAAATTACTCGAAAATATAAAAATACTTTCGTCCTTAAAATTAAAAGTCATGATTAATATAAAAAGAAGTAAGATACAAGAATCAAAAAATCATGTAATATATCTTTTTTCAAATAATAGTATAAAACAAAACTATCTTTCCATACTTTTTGAAGAGTATACATATAAACGAAGTCAAGTTTCATCCTTTATTTTCTTATTTTCTTCCACTAAAGGGAACTGCTGACGGAGAAGGACAAGCAAATCCAGTAAAAAGAAACTTCCAGGTGACTTCTACTTTTCATTTCCTTGTGTGACTTTTCATGGTTCCATGCTTTCTGGGCAAATTATCTCTTTCCCAAATCCTACCTTTCCATTTGCCAATATTCAGATTCTTTTCTTCTCCACGACCTACACCACGAACGCACGCTCTGTTCCTACCAGGAGCTATCTTGAGAGAACT